GGGGTGGGGTGGGGTGAGGTGGGGAAGCCGCCAAACGCAAGGATATTGCCGCAGGCAGGAGTCCACCTCGCCCTCGTCGGGCCCCGCCTGTCCGTCGCCCCCGTCTTCTTCGTCCACGAACTTGTTCTCGTCGTACTCATCTACGTCCACCTTCCGGAACCGGGCCGACGACACCGTGTTCTTCGACATCTCCGATCCGGAGCGGTGGCAAAGGCCTCTTCTCCGTGCTGCCTCTACCTTAGCAAGCCCAGTCAGACAGGAACCCGCAGCCTGGTGCCTTCACTTCCCTCTTCCGCTCTGGGGCGTCGCCGGCAGCCCCGGCTCCGGCGGTTCCGGGCCTGCGCGCTGGCCCCGCTCCTTCCTCAGGTTCACACTCGGCTCCAGCCTCCCACGCCGCCCCTGCTCTTCCCCGGGGAGCGCGCGCGAGGCTAGGAGCGCGCTGGACGCAGTGCGCAGGCGCGGACTCTCCGCAGGAAAAAGTGGGGCGGAGCCAAAGAGGCGGGGGCGGTAGGGGGCGGAGCATGAGGGAGAGCAGAAAGCGGTGCCGCGGGCACCGGTAAGAGGCGATTGGTCGTCTAAGTGCCTCACGTGATCCCAGAGGGTTTCCATAGAAACGCTTCTCTGCGGTCCTGTCTAGGGGGTCTAACGTTGGTTGCGATGGACACTGGGGGCGGGTGGCCTTGGCTTTTGTTGCCACCGCCGCATCCAACGACCTGTCATCCGGGTCCTGCGTAGGGTCCGGCTGGCCCGGACTTGCCTCAGAGGTGGGATGGACTGGTTGTGGGACCAAGTCCCCTGCGGTCGGCAGGAGTATGAGGCGAGGTGATGCAAGTCCCGGCGCCCAGCATCGTTTTAGTTGTCAGAGACAACGCTTCGGATTGTGCGCTGCCAGTGGCTGCGCCCTGGAGCCGGGAACCCCTTTCCCGGGTTTGGAACTACGCTGCACGGCCAGCGGGAAGTCCCCAAGGACAGAATCGAGAGGTCATATCTTTGTCAGTGCTGTGTGGCAGCACCGCGGAGGCACCTCCAGAACCTGAACTAGGTATCATTTCCATTGGGAGGGAGTGTGTCTGGACAGGGGCTGGGGTCGGGTGGCAAAACTAGCGTGAACCTGTGGAATTTGGGGTAGGGTCAATCACTGACATCAAAAAATAAGTGGTTGTGTGGAGCGAGAATGCTAGAAAAGGGTAGCGGCGAGTTATGTTCTCCGGTGCCGAGGGGAAACAAAATGTGTAACAATTAGTAGAAACCAGACGTTTAAGATTAATATTTGTGATGTAATATTTAAGCAATCCCTCTAGGCCAGCTTTTTATTATATTTGATATTCCCATTTCTGAGAGCAAAGCTCTTACTGAGGAGGTAAAGGCACTAAAACTGAGGAAATGATGTTATGCTGTGTGTAACACTGAAGTACAAATATTTGCAGAATAAAATTATTTTGGACCTTTGGTTGGACACTGCTCAGATGGTTTTGTTTTGCTGACATCCTATCAGGTCTACTTTAATTCCACCTCTGGCAGAAGGCCGGCTGTTGCCCGTTAAGGACCCCAATCCTTGGTTTCCTGTGCTGTATTGAAAAGAGCACTGGGTTTATAACCAGTAAAACCTGGTTTGAGTCTTGAGTCTTTCCATTTATTTGATTGAGGCGTGCCACTTAAAATTCTAAATCTCAGGTTCCTCATTGCTGAAGTGGGGCTAATAATGTGTACTTCACAAGATTATTCTGAGGATTAAATACAGCACAGTGTTTTGAAGCTCTAAAATGTACATGAATGTGAAATTCATGTTACCCGTACCATTGATTTTGGCACTAGACTTATATATTACTTAATGATATATCGTGTTTCATCTTGACCCTGGAAGAGATGGAAAGATTCTGGAGAGCAGAGGCTGTCTTATATTTCTTCTGTATCTTCGTTTAGGTCTGACATAAAGCCAAGGTACTCAGTACATTCAGGTACTCAGTTATTCTTTGATGAATGAATAAAATGTGAAAGGCATTATAGTCTGAGAATCACACTGAGAATAATGAACCAGTAAAAAGAGGAAGATCTCAAAATCAAATCTTCATTAGATGCATATTGCATATGCATGTATATATGTATATCAATATGTATATGTATGTATTAATATATGTGTACATATATACACATGTGTGTATATATGTGTATATGTATACACACACACACATATACACACACACACAAGAGAGAGAGAGAGAGAGAGAGAGAATGAGAGACACAGACACCCCTCAGGAGTGGACTGCATCTTTTTTTCTTGGGAGGAAGAAACAATATGGCATTTTAATTTTCCCAATTAAATCACCCTTCTAGAAGATAAATCATTCAGGTGATGAAGTGACATTTCTTTAAATTAACATTCAAATTATGAACAAAAATACTTTTAAAAACTCCCCAAGGACTGTCTGAAGACAGCAAAGAAAAATTTTCTACTTGTTGATAATCTTTATTTTAAAAAGTCATATACCAAAGTATCAGATCATTATTATGGTGAATGACATTATATAACTTAGAATAAAGATTTTTTAAACATTTTTTTCTGTTTCAATATCTTGCTAACTTTAGTAAGAACAATATACTTGTTTAGATGCTAAATGTAATTGTACTTTTTGTTCTTCTAAATCAAGATTTTTTGAAAAGAAAATTGAACATTAGAAGCACTATTGAGAGCAAATGGTAAAAAGGATTTAAGAGCTAATACATCTCTTCCATTTCTATTTTTTTTTTTTTGTATTAGGTCTTATTTAGGAAATTTCTTTATTTTCTTATTTTAGAACTGGGAAAGAATCCCAGAGTAGAAAGCAACGTAAGGGACTAGAGAGAGGAATTAAAAAAAATCGAGTTGCTCAAGGATATAATTGTTTATACTTGCTCAGACTTGTGCTCTACATATTGAATGTGTTGAATATGATGAATTTTCAGCCGCATAATACATACTACATTTGAGATGTAGTAATGTCAGAAATACCTTTTCCAATGCAGTATTTTTTATTGTCTCACAATGATAAGTACCTAGTACATAGTAGGTATTTAACATGTTTCTACCCAATGAATTAATAATTTGACAAATTAATTTTGGAATCACATTTAGAGATTGAGTATTTTTTTAATAGACACATTAATTACCTCTCCACAGCTTTAGGGAAATTTGTGTGCGTATGTGAAGAAACCTGTCCTTAATTATCATTTAATTAGAAAATACACATTATTACACTTTCTTGCAAATTATAAATTTCTAATGTTAATCGTGGTATTTCATTCATTTTAGGTGATATTATTCTCCCTATTTAAATTTTCCAAAAGAGTGCTTATCCCTGAAATAAAGGATCTAAAAAGTTTTAAGACATTTTATTTATCGTGCAAATAACCTGGATTGGTTCAATACTAAAGTAAGCCGTAATTTTCTTGAAGGTATTGCTGCATGAAAGTGTATAGCTCCTTCTTATTTTCTGTGATGATGCAGAGAGTAGATCTTAGTTAGAAAGGATTTTGATAAAACTATTGTGTAATGGGTTTTTCCTTTCAGATATTTTAAACCAAGTTCTCTACCCACAATGTGCTTCTTTTTCCCAAACTTGCCACTAAATTCTTAACAAACCAAGGCCTTGAATCCTGCAGCATGGCAGGTTATTATTTGAAATGGAAGTGAACTAAGTAGTAATCAAATATGTCGAACATTAGAAGCACTATAAATATAAAATAAATAAATTTCAGTTCTGGTAATGATGATTTAATTCCACTGTTCTCTAGCAACATAATTACTGCAATATAAAAAGATTTTTTAGCATATTACCCATAGACTATAGTATGGTTTAATGCTTGTACTTAATATCCAAATGAATTGATTCTATGTTGGAACCACCAACCTTCAAAAGCTTCAGGTTTTTTTTTTTATTATTAATTTTAGCTCTACATATGATTACACACTGAGGCAGAGTAGATAGGATGAACTATTTTACAACAAGACCTTTATTTATATATTAGTACTTAAAAGATTAAAAACATAAATCTGTACTCTTGTCTCAGGAAAAAAGTCAATGCTAAATTAAAGAATAAACCTCGTTTGTAAACATTTTAGTGATTGGGACTCTATTTCTACTTAATTTTTTACCTGTTTATGATAATTTAAAGGGACGCTATATATATAAAAATTTATTTATTTCATATTCTTTCCTGTTACTGGATCTGTTATTAATGCTAACAGCTGTTTTGAGGTTACATGTCTTATCACAGTATACGATCATGATATTTGAGGTAAGGATAATTTTCATCATTTACATCTTCTTTTCTAATATTTAAATCACTTTTCTTTCTTTTTCTTATCTGTTTGCATTAGCTAGACTCTCGAAAACAGTGTTGAAAATTGGCTTCTTTTCTCTGTTTCTATTTTAATAGAAATGTCTTCGGTATTTCACCAGTTTATATTTCCTATTGCTTTATGATTTTTGGGCATGATGGCTGAAATTATCAAATGCTTTTTGGAGGATTTAATGATAAAAATCATGTAGTTTTCAATCATTAATTTATTAATATAATGAATTCTATTTACATATTTTTCTGCACTGAACCATTCCTACATTTCTAGAATAAACTCATTTGGTTACTATTTTTATTGCTCAATAGATTTGATTAATTTATATTTTATTTACATGATTTCAGAATCTATATGTGTAAGAATGATTGATTCATAGTTTTATTTCTTTGTGCTCTCTTTATCTGGTTTTGATATTAGGGTTAGTCTAGGTTTGTAAGATGAATTGAGACAATCTCTGTCTTTTTTCTATGCTCTGGAATAGTTGGAGTATTAGAAAATTGCTACGCTATTTTTTCTTTGAAAGTTATAGAATGTGCTTTCATTGCTGGGCTTGCTCATATTTTTAGAGGTAGGTCTTTGATCTTCTTTATCTCCAGTGATTATTGACTTGTACGGTTTTCTTTTATTGAGTCAATTTCAGAAATTATATTTTTCTAGTAAATCATGCATTTCATCTAGATTGCCAATTTATTGGCAAGAAGTTGCACAAAATATTTTCTTACAGCTATTTTAGTTTCTTCCATGACCATAGACATGATGACTTTTCTCATTGCTACTATTAACTAAGCAAAATATTAAAATCAACATTTTTTTCTTTTTTTCTCCTCCTAACCCAGTTGTCACAAATTCTAGAAATATCTCTTTACTCCTTATAGAAAATAGTCATTTCAGACTTTGATAGAATTTGAAAGATCTACAATTCCTGTCTCTACTATCTATCCTTATTAATATTTTATTAATAATAGTAACCACTTGATGACTGTTTATTGTGTGTTAGACACTGGTTAATAAACTTTTTACTGTACTTACATTATTTAATCCTTAGAGTAGCTCTAAGGCCTAGGAATTAGTGTTCCCATTTTATGAATGAAAAAGTAAGGCTCAAACTGAGATTAGTTAACTGAGCCAATGATTCTCAGTGAGCAAGTAGCAGACTGATTTAGGAATTAGAACAGTCAGATTCTGAAGCTTGTGCTTTTAATCACCACTCTGTGCTTTCAGTAAATCTTTCTCATTATTCCCAACTCTACTACTTACCTTGTGCTAAAATAAGTCTATAAGTATCAAAGGTTAAATATATCCACACAATAGCTTGAAATGAATTGTAAACTGTGAACTTAAAAAGATCTTGTTAATAAAATGATTTTTTAAAAAGATATTTATTTCTTTTTCGGGTATTCCTGTGAGCTTTCCCCACCTATCCCACCTGTCTAGTCTCTGAGACTGGACAAAGAGCCTGCTATCAATTAGCATACCACAAAAGATGTCTCTTTTTTGGTATATGGAGAAATCTGTAGGTGTCGATTAGTAATTCCACTTAATTTTTTTAAAAATTGTGGCAAAATACCCATAACATGAAATTTACCATCTTGCCACTTTAAGTGTACAGTTAAGTAGTATTAAATACATTCACATTGTCGTACAACCATCATCACCATCCATCTCCAGACCTCTTTTTATCTTGAAAAATTCAGATTCCGTACACAGTAAACAATAACTCCACATTCCTCTTTCTCCCCAGCCCCTGGAAGCCACCATTTTACTTTCTGTTTTTATAAATTTGATGACTCTACGTAGGTACCTCATATTAAGTCAAATCATACAGTGACTGGTTTATTTCATTTAGCTTGATGTCCTCAAGATTCATCCATATTATAGCATGTGTCAGAATTTATTTTTTTTAAGACTGAGTAATATTTCCTTGTATGTATAGACCACATTTTCTTTATCCATTCATCCACTGATGGGTTCTTGGGTTACTTCCACCTTTCGGCTATTGTGAAAAATGCTGCTATGAATATGGTTATACAACTGTCTCTTTGAGACCCAATTTTCAATTATTGTGGGTATATACCCACAAGTGGAATTGCTGGATTGTATAGTAATTCTGTTTCTAATTTTTTGAAGTTAATTCCACTTAATTAACTAAATAGGGCAATAAAGCAATGTTCCTTTGCATCAGGTCTCTCATTTGCTACATCCCCAAGAGTGGTGAGCCTGAAGGCCTGATCACTGCACTGTCCGAGCTTGCTCCATGGAACTGTTGCTCTGATATGATACATGCCATCTCAGAGCAGATAGCTCATGTCTCTTGTTTTTCAGATGTGGAAATAGAGGCTACTTGCCTAGGGCCAACTATCTTTATGGTCTCTTAACAGCCTCTTATCTAAAACTTGACTATATTGGCCTCAACTCATGACTTATCAGTACCATTATTCTTCTAGCCCCAGTCTTATCTAACCTGCATAAAAATTTAACTGCCCAAAGCACTTTTCTTTCCTGTCGTCCTGGCAACATTTGTTATACACCCGTTGATATCCAGGTTCACATTTTGAAATACAAATTCATAGATTTCTAACTGGATCCTTTGTAGCCTGATTGATATGGTGGTTTTCTTGACCACTTTGGAGATAGATTTCATGGCAACTGATAGGATCTACATTTTTTTTTTGAGGAGGCCACAAGGTGGGTGGGTCTCTCCTATTTCTGTGGAGTGTCACCAGCCAGCCTGGTAAGAAGCTTCAGAGCTGGCTCCCCAGGACCCCTACACTTGCTGACACCATTAGCTACGTCACTTAGCTGGATCTACTTTTATAATGATCAGGGAGGCTGAATTTGTTATGTTGGAGTCTTTTTTTAAAAACTCTACATCCCAAATTGTATACATGATATCATGATCTAATAATAAACTTCAACAATACCTCTTTAAATAATAAGGACCATATACCCACAATACAATTATATTCCAATAATTCTATACAAATTTTCAGGTTATCAATAGAAATTTCTTTAAAAATTTATTTGTTTTAATCACAACAGGAATTTCTATTCTAAACATTTTTCTTTTCTTCTAAGAGAAAAGTGAAGCAGCAAATGTGAATTCATTAAACACAAGCTAAGTGCTCTAGTGTACATGCTCAGGTGGTTAGTGAAGGAGCACTTTCTAGAAGTGTGTTTTGAACAAAATTTTGAGAGAAGGTATAGATATGCACTGGTGAAAAAGAAGTGGTCAGAAAAAAGGGAAGTAGATAAAAATTATGTATTGGGGAGCTATATCAGAAGAAGGGGGAATGGATGCTAAGAAAAAAAACAAAACAAAAAACAAACATGTCCAGGATGGTTAAGCAGGCACTTGGCTGGGATAGAGAAGAAACCTTTGGGAGCAGTGTTTGATGAAGTTATTGAGATGAAGGTTCACAGTCTGGCTACCCACGTTTTGC